AAATAACGTACTATAAAAACCACCTATGTAGTCAGTTGGTCTCTGCCTTTCTGCGCCAACGTCCATCCTCAGACACTGTGGGCCCTGTGCGCTCGCGTTCCGCTGCCATGGCAGCAGGGAGGGGTGGGGTGGTAGGAGCAGTGGCAGCTCCACCAGCAGCGGCTGCCTCAGTCTGCAGTCGATGATGAGTAGCTTTCTTCACCAGCGCAGTGAGGAAACTACTAACCAGCCGCAGCAGCAGCAGCATCAGGTGGACCTGGAGCAGGACCTCAAACAACAGGCTTGGGCCTACTTGGACAGCACCCTGCCAACCGAGGTAGACAATCCCCTTGACTACTGGGCAACGAAACTTGACCTTTGGCCCCAACTAGCTGAATTTGCCCTTGAAAGGCTGTCATGCCCGGCCAGTAGCGTGGCATCGAGCGCGTGTTTAGTGCGGCAGGAGTATTGTAACTCCGCGGAGGAAGGACACGACTGTCCACCCAAAGTGTGGAGAGACTCACGTTTGTGAAAATGAATCAGGCGTGGATTAGTCTGGATTTCAAACCACCAGTTCCTGACACAACTGACTAAATCCGCCATGAATCATGCCCCAAACATGTGCCATTTCAGGTCTCCTCACACTGCTGGGTGTTCAATTTTTTGTCATAGGGTGCTGGCAGATTACGGGCCTCCCATTGCTGCTGCCAGGCCTGTAATCTGCCATGGGCCCCTGTACCGCCTCCTCATGCTGCTGCCAGGTCCACAGTGTGTCATGGGTCCCTGTACGGCCTCCCATTGCTGCTGTCTCCATCGCCACACTCTGCCATTGTGCCACTTTCAGGTCTCCTCACACTGCTGGTGTGTTCCATTTTTGTCATAGGGTGCTGGCAGATTACGGGCCTCCCATTGCTGCTGCCAGGCCCCTAATCTGCCATGGGCCCTGACCCGCCTCCATCATGCTGCTGCCAGGTCCACAGTGTCTCATGGTCCCTGTACGGCCTCCCATAGCTGCTGTCTCCATCGCCACACTCTGCCATGTGCCACTTTCAGTCTCCTCACACTGCTGTGTTCCATTTTTGTCATAGGGTGCTGCAGATTACGGCCTCCCATTGCTGCTGCCAGGCCCGTAATCTGCCATGGCCCCCGTACCCCTGTATGCCGCCACCCGCGTCTCATGGCCCCTGCACCATGTCCTGAGGCTGTCCATGTCCAGAGTCTCATGGGTCCCTGTACGCCTCCCATTGCTGCCTGGTTCTCCATCGCCACACTCTGCCATGTGCCACTTTCAGGTCTCCTCACACTGCTGGTGTGTTCCATTTTTTGTCATAGGTGCTGGCAGATTACGGGCCTCCCATTGCTGCTGCCAGGCCCGTAATCTGCCATGGCCCCTTACCGCCTCCTCATGCTGCTGCCAGGGGTCCAGAGTCTCTCATGGTCCCCCTGTACGGCCCTCCCATTGCTGCTGCTCCATCGCCACCCGTGCCATGTGCCACTTTCAGGTCTCCTCACACTGCTGGTGGTTCCATTTTTTGTCATAAGTGCTGGCAGATTACGGGCCTCCCATTTGCTGCTGCCAGGCCCGTAATCTGCCATGGGCCCCTGTATTACCGCCTCCTCATGCTGCTGCCAGGTCCAGAGTGTGTCATGGGTCCCTGTGTACGGCCTCCCATTGCTGCTGCTCCATCGCCACACTCTGCCATGTGCCACTTTCAGGTCTCCTCACTGCTGCACTGCCTGAAATCTTCGAGCTTGGTGGTTCCATTTTTTTGTCATAGGGTGCTGGCAGATTACGGCCTCCCATTGCTGCTGCCAGGCCCGTAATCTGCCATGGGCCCCTGTACCGCCTCCTCATGCTGCTGCCAGGTCCAGAGTGCTCTCATGGGTCCCTGTACGGCCCTCCCATTGCTGCTGTCTCCATCGCCACACTCTGCCATGTGCCACTTTCAGGTCTCCTCACAACACGGCTGGTGTGTTCCATTTTTTTGTCATAGGGTGCTGGCAATTACGGGCCTCCCATTGCTGCTGCCAGGCCCGTAATCTGCCATGGGCCCCGTACCGCCTCCTCATGCTGCTGCCAGGTCCACAGTGTCTCATGGGTCCCTGTACGGCCACCCATTGCTGCTGTCTCCATCGCCACACTCTGCTGGGTGGGTTCCTATGTGCCACTTCAGTCTGCCTCACACCCGCCTCTTCATGCACTGCTGGCTGTGTTCCATTTTTTGTCATAGGGTGCTGCCAGATTGTGAGCCGGGTCCTCCCATTGCTGCTGCCAGGCCCTGCTAATCTGCCATGGGCCCCTGTACCCCCCCGCCTCCTCATGCTGCTGCCAGGTCCAGAGTGTCTCATGCATGGTCCCTGTACGGCCTCCCATTGCTGCTGTCTCCATCGCCACACTCTGCCATGTGCCACTTTCAGGTCTCCTCACACTGCTGGTGTGTTCCCCATTTTTGTCATAGGGTGCTGGCAGATTACGGGCCTCCCATTGCGCTGCAGAGGGCCCCTGGTCTCGTAATTGGGGGGTGCTGGGGGGGGGGCCCCCGTATCCGCGTAATCCTGCCATGGCCCCCTGTACCTCCTGCTGCCAGGCTAGCTCCATCGCCACAACTCTGCATTGTTTGATCCTCACACTGCTGGGGTGTCTCATAGGGTGCGTCAACATTACGGCCTCCCATGCTGCTGCCTGTAATCTGCCATCGCCCTGTAACGCCTGCCATGTGTCCAGAGTCCACAGTGTCAGGGTCTCCTGTACGGCCTCCCATGCTGCTGTGTTCCATTTCTTGTCCACTAGGGTGTGTGTTCATTTAAAGGGCCCCCAGATACGGCGCCTCCCATTGCTGCTGCCAGGCCCCGTAATCTGGCCCATGGGCCCCCGTACCCGCCTCCTCAGTGCTGCTGCCAGGTCCACAGTTGGTCTCATGGGTCCCTGTACGGCCTCCCATTGCTGCTGTCTCATCGCCACACTCTGCCATGTGCCACTTTCAGGTCTCCACACACTCACAGGGTGCTGCTGATTACGGCCCTCCCAATGTGCTGCCAGGCCCGTATAATCTGCCATAGGGCGCTGGCAGCCAGAGTCAGATTACGCCGACCTCCCATTGCGCTGCAGAACCACTGGCCAAGAGGCCCGTAATCTGCATCATGGGCCCCATGTACCTCGCCTCCTCATGGCTGCTGCCCTCATATGCCAGGTCCAGAGTGAGGCATTCTCATGGGTCCCTGTACGGCCTCCCATTGCTGCTGTCTCCATCGCCAACACTCTGCCATGTGCCACTTTCAGGTCTCCTCACACTGCTGGTGTGTTCCATTTTGTCTGTCATAGGGTGCTCGGCAGATTACGGGCCTCCCATTGCTGCTGCCAGGCCCGTAAATCTGCCATGGGCCCCCTGTACCGCCTCCTCATGCTGCTGCCAAGGTCCAGGAGTCTCTCATGTCCCCTGTAGCGGCCCCCATTGCTGCCTGTCTCCATCGCCACACTCTGCCATGTGCCACTTTCAGCGTCTCCTCCCACTGCTGGTGTGTTCCATTATTTGTCATAGGGTGCTGGCAGAAGACTACGGGGCCTGAGCCATTGCTGCTGCAGGCCCGTAATAATGCCATTGGGCCCCCGTAACGCCTCCTCATTGCCTGGCAGGTCCACAGTGTCCTCATGGGTTCCATTACGGCCTCCCAAACTGCTGTCCTCCATCGCCAACTATGACCATGGTGCCACTTTCAGGTCTCCCTCACACGCTGGTGTGTTCCATTTTTTGTCAATGGGTTTGCTGGCAGATTTACGGCCCTCCCATGGCTGCTGCCAGGCCCGTAATCTGCCATGGGGCCCCTGTACCACGCCTCCTCATACGGCAGCTGCTGCCAGGTCCACAGTGTCTCATGGGTCCCCTGTACGGCCTCCCATGGCCTGCAGTGTCTCCAATCGCCACAAACTCTGCCATGTGCCACTTACAGGTCTCCTCACACTTGCTGCTGTGTGTTCCATTTTCTGTCATGGGTGCTGGCAGATTACAGGCCTCCCATTGCTGCTGCCAGGCCCTAATCTGCCATGGGCCCCCGTACCGTGCCTCCTCATGCTGCTGCCAGGTCCAACAGTGTCTCATGGGTCCCTGTACGCCTCCCATTGCTGCATGTCTCCATCGCCACACTCTGCCATGTGCCACTTTCAGTCCTCCTCACACTGCTGGTGTGTTCCATTTTTTGTCATAGGGTGCTGGCAGATTACGGGCCTCCCATTGCTGCTGCCAGGCCCGCTAATCTGCCATGGGCCCCCGTAAACCGCCTCCTCATGATCTCGCTGCTGCCAGGTCCACAGTGTCCATCTCATGGGTCTCCCTGTGTACGGCGCCTCCATTGCTGCTGCTGCTCCAATCGCCACACTCTGCCAGGTGTGCCACTTTCAAGGTCATCCTCACACTGCCTGGTGTGTTCCATTTTTTTGTCATTGAGGGTGCTGGCAGATTACGGGCCTCCCATTGCTGCTGCCAGGCCCGTAATCTATGCCATGGGCCCCTGTAAGGGACCCGCCTCCTCATGCTGCTGCCAGGGTCCACCAGTGGTTCATGGGTCCCTGTACGCGGCCTCCCATTGCTGCTGTCTCCATCGCCTACACTCTGGCACTCTGCCATGTGCCACTTTCAGGTCTCCTCACACTGCTGGTGTGTTCCATTTTTTGTCATAGGGGTATTTTTTTGCTGGCAGATTTCGGGGCCTCCATTGCTGCTGCCAAGGCCCGTAATCTGCCATGGGCCCCTGTACCGCCATCCTCTTCATGCTGCTGCCAGGTCCAGAGTCCTCTCATGGGGTCCCTGTACGGCCTCCCATTGCTGCTGGTCTCCATCGCCACACTCTGCCATGTGCCACTTTCAGGTCTCCTCACACTGCTGGTGTGTTCCATTTTTTGTCATAGGGTGCTGGCAGATTAACGGGCCTCCCATTGCTGCTGCCAGGCCCGTAATCTGCCATGGGCCCCCTGTTTTATTTAGTTGCGCCGCCTCCTCATGCTGCTGCCAGGTCCAGAGTCTCTCATGGGTCCCTGTACGGCCTCCCATTGCTGCTGTCTCCATCGCCACACTCTGCCATGTGCCACTTTTTCAGGTCTCCTCACACTGCTGGTGTGTTCCATTTTTTTGTCATAGGGTGCTGGCAGATTACGGGCCTCCCATTGCTTCTGCCAGGCCCGTAATCTGCCATGGGCCCCCGTACCGACTCCTCATGCTGTACTTTGCAACAAGGTGGAATTCAACCCTACATATGTTAGACCGCCTTTACGAAACAGCGAAAGGCCATCACAGATTCCTGATGTTACAAGCGGATAAAGGTACTCCCCTGTGTAACTTAGATGTCAGCCATTGGCAGCTCATGCGTGACACCTGCCGCTTGCTCAGGCCCTTTGAGGAGGCCACGCTATTCGTGAGTCGGCAGGACTACTATGGGATGAACGACGTCATTCCTCTGTTGCACGTCCTGGAACAAATGCTGTTAACAATGGCTGGTCAGGGTGCGGTAGACGTGGCGCACAGATCTCAACGCCACATGACCCCTGTGGGGGCAGGACAGGAAGAAGAGGAGGAGGTAGAGGAGGACATTGGTGCTCAGGAATTATTGAGTGAAATGGGTGGTTTTTTCCACTCAGCGGACAGGAGTGGAGGAGCAGGAGCATCTGGTAGAGGAGGAGGAGGAGACAGAGGACCCAGACGCAACCGTGGCAGTATGCTGTGGAGATAGAGGCAGGGAGTCCCTCGCATTCCTTGGCACAAATGGCCCATAGCATGCTCGGTTGCTTGCGTAGCGACAGCCGAATAATAACCATCAGACAGAGGGATGACTTTTGGCTGTCCACCTTGTTGGACCCTCGCTACCGTTCAAAAATGGTGGCCTTTTTCACACCTGCTGAGAGGGAGGCCAAAATAACGTACTATAAAAACCACCTATGTAGTCAGTTGGTCTCTGCCTTTCTGCGCCAACGTCCATCCTCAGACACTGTGGGCCCTGTGCGCTCGCGTTCCGCTGTCCATGGCAGCAGGGGGAGGGGTGGGGTGGTAGGAGCAGTGGCAGCTCCACCAGCAGCGGCTGCCTCAGTCTGCAGTCGATGATGAGTAGCTTTCTTCACCAGCGCAGTGAGGAGGAAACTACTAACCAGCCGCAGCAGCAGCAGCAGCATCAGGTGGACCTGGAGCAGGACCTCAAACAACAGGCTTGGGCCTACTTGGACAGCACCCTGCCAACCGAGGTAGACAATCCCCTTGACTACTGGGCAACGAAACTTGACCTTTGGCCCCAACTAGCTGAATTTTGCCCTTGAAAGGCTGTCATGCCCCGGCCAGTAGCGTGGCATCGGAGCGCGTGTTTAGTGCGGCAGGAGGTTTTGTAACTCCGCGGAGGACACGGACTGTCCACCCAAAGTGTGGAGAGACTCACGTTTGTGAAAATGAATCAGGCGTGGATTAGTCTGGATTTCAAACCACAAGTTCCTGACACAACTGACTAAATCCGCCATGAATCATGCCCCAAACATGTGCCACTTTCAGGTCTCCTCACACTGCTGGTGTGTTCCATTTTTTTGTCATAGGGTGCTGGCAGATTACGGGCCTCCCATTGCTGCTGCCAGGCCCGTAATCTGCCATGGGCCCCCCGTACCGCCTCCTCATGCTGCTGCCAGGTCCAGAGTGTGTCATGGGTCCCTGTACGGCCCCTCCCATTGCTGCTGTCTCCATCGCACACTCTGCCATGTGCCACTTTCAGGTCTCCTCACACTGCTGGTGGGTTCCATTTTTGTCATAGGGTGCTGTATGGCCCCATTGCTGCTGCCTCCACCGCCACACTGTGGCTCCACACTGTGGTTTTGGCCCCGTGACTGCCCAAATGAGTGAAGTGTGCGGTGATTCTAAGATCGACGGCACTCATCTGCATGTCATACTGACTGACAGTATTATTTCTCTTCCCCAGCAGACTCCAAGGGCATTTAAATTAAAGGTACAGTGTTCTGCACTAATATGAAGGCTCTCTGAAAGCCTAGAAAACACCCTTTTATAAGTTAAATTCGCAGCGAATATATTCGCATCGAATCGAATTTATTCCTCGAATTCGCCGAATCAGCCGAATCAAATTTTTGAATACTTCGCTCATCTCTAGTCACAACCATGTGTCCGGTGGTAGAGTCACCCCCCTTTTGAGCGTCCTTGTAGTCGGGACCAGTGATGGTGGTTTTGATGCACTTTTTTTCTTTCCTGTTTTTTTTTTTCCTTTCTCTCATGGATCTGGGGCTGCCCGAGGCACCTGCACGGTTGAGGTCTGGACCGTTGCCTCTAGCGTACCTCAGCAGTCAAACCCCGTGACTCAGTATGGTTTCAAAACCCATGAAGATATTCCCTCTAAACATTCATGGCTTCAACTCTCCGACCAAACGATCTAAGGTGTTTCATCAGCTGAGGTCTCAAGATGTGGATGTAGTTTGCTTGCAGGAGACGAGATTCTCACAATCTTCTGCTCCATGATACCTCTCTCCTCATTATCCAACCATTTTCTCTGCTCCTGCTCCTGAGAAACATAGTGTAGTGGCGATTGCCTTCAGGCTCAATCTGATGTTTTCTTGCGACCTAGAAATAGCTGATCTCACTGGTCGTTACCTGCTTCTACTGGGTACCCTCTGGGACCATGAGGTGACTCTGGTGGACTATTATGTGCCAAACAGGTTCCAACAAAAATTCTTTTCTTATCTACTGAAAGTGTTCTCGTACCACCAGAAAGGCATTCTTCTTTTGATGAGCAACTCAAATGTTACTCCTATTTCTCAGATCATGACCCTTTGGTTTTCCTACTGCACCTAGCTGGCATGTCCCAGCCCTCTTACCAATGGAGACTAAATGAGTCCCTTATCTCTACTCAGGCTTTATACTCCCAGGTGCTTTCACACATCCCAATATTACTTTGCGGACAATGTGGATTTGTGTCTTCAGCTGTCTCCTTGTGGGAGGATCAGAAAGCCACCGTCAGGGGACTCTGATCCAAATCGCATCTCTAGAAAACGAGCCAGAGAAAAGAGGATGCTAGAACTAACCTCGCTGTTGGTCACAGTGGATGCAGCTTGGAAAGCTCATCCGACTGTAGTAAATCAAAAAGCCCAAGATGCCGTAGTGGCTGAACTTGATCTTCTTTCCACTGCACAGACTGAGAAAGTCTTATGGTGGGCCGAGCACAGGTTTTATACATGTGCCAGTAAACCGGGCCAATGTTGGCCCAGGAAACTTTATTCAATGGGCCATGCGGACAAACCTGTTCAACTCCAGGTACAAGGTGGTGACCTTGCAAACTTTCTATCTTCCCTATACATGAAACCAAATGTTTTTATTGCAGAACAAGCTGACAGTTTTTTTGAAGACTTACACCTGCCCTCCTTATCCGCAGCAGCTCGCAATGCCCTGAACATTTCTGGACATTTCTGAAATTGAAATCCATCAAGCGATCAAATCCTTGAAGTCCTCCAAGGCTCCAGGCCCAGATAGGTTTTCGGGGCTCTTTTATAAAAATTTGCTACCTTCTTTGTCCCCATTTGGCACCTTTTTTACTCTCTGAAGCAGTGCACCGGCCTTCTCCAAAGTCTCTCAAAGCACATATTACCATAATTCCCAAGACATCTGACAACACTTTTGAACCGCAAGTCTTCAGACCTATCTCTTTGTTGAATGTGGATCTGAAAATTCTGGAGAAGGTTTTGAGCGCCTGAGCTAATAAATATTTACTTTTACTTATCCACAGGGATCAGGTGGGCTTCATACCGAGGAGACAGGCTGGGGATAATATTTGCAAAATTGTCATCCTCATTCATATCTTACATCAACACAAGATACTGGGTTTACTTTTGTCTCTAGATATATACAAAGCGTTCGACTCGCTCTCTTGGGATTACCTGACCTATATGCATTCTCGATGGGGGTTTGGAAACAACTTTATGGCTTGGATTATAGAATTGTACTCGTCTCCTTCGGCTTCTGTCAAATACACTGATTCTTTTACCTCACCTTTCCTGATATTTTGGGGCACGAGACAGGGCTGCCCATTATCACCCGTCCTTTTTGTTCTAGCTGTCGGACCCCTAGCTGCCGCTATCCGTAACAATCCTGATATCTCTGGGGTCCCTTATGCAGGCAACCGCTACAAGGCTAACTTTTATGCGGACGATGCCCTCCTGGTCCTAACTAATCTCCTCACTACTCTCCCCAATCTACAGGGCATACTGGACAGATTTTCAGCCATATCTGGCCTTCGTATTAATCTATCCAAAACTAAAGCATTGAACATTACTCTCCCCACTGACTTGGTTGAATGTTTACAGGCACAGTTCCCATACCTGTGGGAAGCCCATTCCTTGGACTATCTTGGCATTAAACTCACTACCTTATTTTCGGCCAATTACTATCCTTATTACGATCTGTGACTTCCCTTCTTACTTCATGGCAGTTCCCTTCTCTGTCGTGGTTTGGCCAGATACACACTGTCAAAAGGACAATTTTGCCTAAAGTTCTATACTTTTTTGCACCCTACCTATTCACAGAGTTTTTCCTCCGTCTATTACAGAATAGTATTCTCCACTTCATCTGGGCCCAAAAGCGCCCCAGGGTTCCCAGAACCACTCTATATACTCATAAACTGCAGGGCAGCTTGAGAGTTCCTCATATTTCTCTATACTACCTTGCGGCTCAAATCTCCCAGCTGTTCATGCTCCATGCCACGGCTGATATTCCATTATGGGTATTTCTGGAATTGCCCAAATGTGCCCCAATCTCCTTGTCCACATTGCACTGGCTCCCACATAAATTGCGCCTGTAAAATATCGTATTGTCTCGATATTGTATTAACTTGTATTGATGAGAAATGTTCAGATAGAAAGTCCTTCCACTTCTTGCATAAACTCAAAAAGATGATTTAATAATAATAATGTTGCATAAAATTAGAAATAAAACATTGGCATACAGAATGTTTAAATAATGTCCAAAAAATATAGTTAAGTTCTTGATAATAAGATTGTGTATATGTATATGCGTGTGTATGTGTGTGTATGTCTGTCGCATAAAGGCTTCTATATAGAGTGTCCTTAAAAAGTCTTTGTTCTGCTCTTAAAAGAGCAATCCAGCCCCCACCATCTCCTAAAAGTGGGTTGGTATTCTCTTGTAGTCCCACTAAGATAATTGACACCAACAGAGGTATTAAAACAAAACCTCCAATCTACTTCTCTCAAAGTCTGAGTGTAACTTTATCTCTTACATAGATGGGGGAGGATGGGGGAAGGTATAGCTAATTACTCTCATATGTGGCTTGAATGTAAAGGAAAAACCCAAGATATATGTTCATATGTATATTCACAGACTATGAAGTCTAATTACTTACTTTTCCCAATCTAGAACAAATATAAATATAATAACTCAATTATTCTATTAAGATCCAACTCATTCATACTTGTTAGTACTGTTAATAAGAAGATATTAGATATTAGGTTAAGGAAAGCTTCTAACAGCGCCCCCCCGGACCTGAGCCCCATTACGCTTCATAGTCTCCGTACGTGGGACTCTTGTTAGATATTCGAGTAATTTAATGTCGCCTTTTTTGCCTCTTCTGGCGATCACCCACAACCCTCTCTTTCCCCCAGGATTGGAGCATCCCCCCCTCTTTCTCCCAGTGGGCCTCTCACAGCTTTGCAAAACGTACACAGCTTACCTTACCACTGGTTCATTCCCATCCTGGGAGGCCCTCCAAGAGACACAAGAGGCTCCGTTGTGGGAATATTTCCACTATCTGCAATTACAGCATTGGTTTATGTCCCTACGTCATGCTTCCACATTTCCTTATTGCAAAATGACTTTTGAACACATAAGCCAACATTCTCCGGGGTCCCCTGGTCTTGTCTCTACTTTATGTGCCTCCCTTATTAATAGGTCTTCTTCTACATCCCTACCTTATGCAACTCAGTGGGAGCAAGATCTAGGTTCATCTATTGAGATTGAGGAGTAGAGCAAGGCCTGGAAAATGATAGCAAAATGTTCTTTCAATACTGCTACTCTTGAGGTCGCCTACAAAGTTCTCCTGCGGTGGTACTGGTTCCCGGCTTGGACTGCTCACATCTATCCGGGTGATGGCGATAGGTGTTTCAGGAACTATGGTCAGCATGGGGATGCCCTGCATATTTGGCTTTCATGCCCACATCTGCTAGGCTTTTAGTCCAGGGTTTTTCACTTGCTGCAAACGTTGCTTCATGTAACGGTCCGTAAATATGCCAGACTGGCCCTTTTGCATTGTTCTATTCTGGGTCTTTTCATGCCCCAGCAGAAATTGGATTCCTACCTATTTATTTGGCCAAGCGCGCTATTGCTCAAGCCTGGAGGACCCCTTCGGTTAATTTCCAGGGTGTGAAGACCTGGATGAATGCCATGATGATTAAGGAACAGATGTTCAGTATTCTTAAAGATTTGCATCCAAAATTCCTTAAAGTTTGGGAACCCTGGATAAATTATTTCTGTCCATTCTTACCTCCCTTTATTATTGGCCTCCTGTAGACATTGCCCGTGTCTGGATCCGTGATTTTTTCTTCTTCCTGATTTTTCACTTTTGTTTCACTTATTTTTCCATCATTCTTTTGTTCCTTTTCCATTTATGTCTTTCTTTCTTTCTTTCTGAATTGATATTTCCCAGCAGGGAGCAGGGACCTTTGCTTTAAAAAAGGACAGCTGAATGCTGTTGATATTGTTGGTTTTGATTTTCCTGCTGATCCTCCTTGGTTATGTTTGCCATTGCATTGTCTGATTGATGCATAGTATTGGTCTGTATCTGCTTTGTGTGGGTTTGCTTGCTGGTATATACACCATGTAAGATGTTTTTGAAGGCACTTAGCTTACAGACACTGTCTGGCTAAGTCCCAGCTGGTAAATAAAAGGTTTGTTTTCCTCAAGTTCGTGTCCGGAGCAGGGGCGGACTGACAAGTCATGGGGCCCCGGGCACTAGGGGAT